GAGAATTTGTAAGTGTTTCAGGATTTTTTTATTCTCTCTTCTGGGTTGGCCAGGGTCCCTGCTCTCCTCACTTTATCATGAACCCTCAGTTCATGGTCCTGACCTTTGGGGTCTCTGAATAGCCCAGTCTCGGGAGGCCTGGGGTTGACCGGGTACCAGCGGCCCAGTGCGCCTGGGACTGGGAGGGTACTGGGTCCAGCTCTCCCGGTTCCTGCTTACACGCCCTCCTCCCCTCTGCCCCCCCCCCCCCCAGGAACCAGTCCAACGTGCGGCGCATGCACACGGCCGTGCGGCTGAACGAAGTCATCGTGAAGAAATCCCGGGATGCCAAGCTGGTTTTGCTCAACATGCCTGGACCTCCGCGCAACCGCAACGGTGACGAAAATTGTATCCTGGACCTAAAGTGGAGGGTGGGGGATCGAAGCGGACATCAGGGGGCCCGGTCCTCGCCCTGGGATGGAAGAGCTGAGCCCGTTCCTGCTTCAGTTACCTCGGACCCGGACGCGGGCGCAGGATTCCCTGGCGCCGATCGCGACCCCCATTCCATGGGGGGGGGGGGCGGTGTGTGTGGAGGGGAAGGGGACGGTCTTTCTCCTTGACGCGCGTTCAGACATGGAGTTCCTCGAGGTCCTCACCGAGCACCTGGACCGGGTGATGCTGGTCCGCGGCGGCGGCCGCGAGGTCATCACCATCTACTCCTGAGAGCCAGGACCTGCCACCCGGGCCCGGGCGCGCCCGGCCGGCGGCCCCGGAGCCCTTGCCGCGCCCCCCGCCGCTGTCACCGTTTACATACAGACCCTGTGCCCGCGCCCTGGCCCCTTTCCCCGCTGCCTGAAGCCCAGAGGCCACGCCGCTCGGGGCTGACTCGGAGAGGACCGCCCCGCGCGGAGGCCGGAGCCCTAGCGCCCCGTTGGCGCGTCGCTCCGCGGGCCCGGCCTCGCCCCACGGGAGGAGACGCTGCAATAAGGCTGGGGAGGCGCGGAGAGCGGAGGCGCGGGGCCGTGAGGAGCCCCCGCGGGCCTAGCGGCCCGGTCCTCTCCGCCGCCCCGCCCGGTCCTCCTCGGCGCCCCGGCGCGGGCCCGGCTCCCGGCGGCCGGAGGGCGCGCGGTGGGGAGGCCGTGCTCGGCCGGATCCGCCGCCCCTCCGCGCGGGGCCGCGCCTATACATAGTGTACAGGAGACATCGCGTGTATTTTTAACGTCCCCATATTTCTGTGACTAGAAGCGCAACGGACTTCTCTGCTCGCCGCTGTCGAGCTCTCCCGCTGGGGGCGCCCGGGGCAGGCGGCGGCCTCGGGAGGCTGGGTTTTCCTGGACGTCCGCGAGTTTGGGAGCAAAAGTGCTTTCGGCCCAGGCGGGAGTCGTGGTCCTGGCCCCTCGGCACCCCCGCCCCGCTCTCGCCTCCTCGCCCTTCCCGCGCGCCCCTGCGCTTCCGACCCTTCCCGCGAGTTCTTTTCGGAGATGGGGTGAGACCAGTGTCCGGCTTTTCCTGGATCCACCTCCCAGCGGCTGCGGGGAAGCGCGCGGCCTCTTCTCGGCTCCCGGCGAGCAGGCGCTAGGGCAAGGGGAGGGGCTCCTCGGGGGTGGGGAGAGACCGAGGAAGCCCCGCCCCCGTGCCTTCGCAGGGGGAGCAGGCGTCCCTCCTCGTCGGCTTGTCGCCTGCTCCCCCTATCCCATGGCTCGTCGCCAAAGACTGAAACTGGGGAGCTGGAGGGCTTCCCCTCCCCGGAGTTGCGTCCCTGGGACAGGCGAGGGAGGAGGGGGGCGATTCGGGTTTAGGGGCCAGACCCACCGGGGAGGCTCCAGCTCTGCCCCTGATGTTCCCTCTCCTGTCCCCATCCGGCAGCTGGAGGCTCCGGCCGCCGGGACCCAGCCGCCTTCTCCGTGTCCCGGGGCCCGGCCTCGCTGCCTAGCAGCGGCCTCTAGCCGCGTCTCCCAGGCACCTGGGCCTGGGGGAGGGCTGGAGTCGCCACGTGCTTTTGTTCTTAGCGTCTCTTTGCCCTTCTCCAACTAGGACCCAAGATCTTTGGCTTCTCCAACTCCACTCCTTGGCGCTTTTGCTCCAAGCAGCCCGGTCAGAGGCGCCCTCTATCCCTAGAGAAGGCGCATCGGGCGGGTTCCCTTCCCCCAGGGCGCGTTACTAAGGGGGACAGGCACTGCATGCTCGTTCCAGCGCCCTCTGGGACTGGGTTCAGTACCTCCAGCCCCAGGGCCCTGACGTTCGCACCTAGACATCCTGTCCACCTCCCAGAGCTTGGGGTACTGGGTACTCCTGACCTCACCACCTCCTTCCCTTTGAGCCCAAAGCAGGGAGCTGGAGCTGTTGCCATCTATAGACTGGGTCAGGTGTGGCTGGAGGTAGGTCTGGATATCTGCCTGTTAGGCCAAGCCCTCTGAGATCTGATGAGGGGGCCAGATAGACTCTTTAGGAAGTTGGAGGTATTAGGACACCAGGCCCCCTCCCCTGACCCTCCCTACCCCCCGCCCCCCCCCCACCTCTCCCTAAAGACCACCCTCTGAGAACCACAGCTGGGCCTAGCCTTCTGGGGGCCGGAACAACCTAGGCTGAAGTGGTGGGTTGGGCAGAAGGGGAAGGGGGCTGCATCAACACCAATTAGGGAACCAAAGTTGCACTATCTGGACCCAGAATGTCTGGTTGGCAAGAGCAAAGTTTCCATTGATGAAAACAAACATCCCACAATAAAACCCAAGTTTTCTGTGCTACATGTGCAATATTTGTTATGAATGTTATCACAAGTCATTCATTAAATTATCTTTATCATCATTGTAGCTAGATGTTTCATGTCCATTCAAGTGACTTTAATTCTGAGTGCAATATTTCAATAGCCTTGTAGTGATAACTAGCGTTGCTTTTGTTTTAGACGATCTATGTGCAGGGCAATGCAATGAAGTTGAAAACCCTTGTAAATAGGAGAGGTTGCAAACCAAATCAAGATTATTTATTACTATTATTAGGCCTGCCTTTAATTTTCAGTGTGTTTTAGTATTCCGCATTCTGCCTCAGTATTGATCTTGTGTTCTCTGTGCCAATACGGAAAGGAGCGCGTTGGTTCTTTCCTTTATTGTTGAATGCTCCCATTTAATGCTTTACAGCTTTTACTGTATTTTTTAGACTCCCGTCTGCACAAAATGCAATAAAAATAATTTTATTATACCCTTCACAGCCTGAGATGTGCTCTTTGGACACCCGAGGGGGAGGGGTGAGTATGTGGGAAGAGGGGTGAGTGGCTCTTCAGGAGCCTAGCCTCATCAAACCCTGTCACTGGCAGAAGGGGGCTGGCTGGTCCTCCAGGTCTGGTGGCCTGGTTCGTGTTCTGACAGCTGTGGGGCCCTGTCCTGGACAGCACTTAGCAGGTCAGGCTCAGCGCTATCGCCAGCCCACCAGAGGCCTCGGGCCAGTCACTTCACCCCACCCGCCCCAGGGCTTCCTGGTGGGGCTGGCTATTTAATGCTCTTCCAGGCTCCCACAGCTTCTGTGACTCTATGGTTCTGCCAACTCCTCACATAATGGGCAGAACAGAAGGTGGCAACTGAGACGAAATTGAAACAGGAGAGTGCCCCACTCCACTGGCCAGCAATGGCCTCTTCAGGGTCCTGTTTTCCTTTCCTAGAGTTAAGAGGACAAGCCTGCTGCCACACTGAAAGTCTACCACAAACAAGGATGTTTAACACAGCATCGTCATTAGCCAGTAGGCTTTAGCTCTGGACTGTTATTAAAGCTTCTAAGTAGGTGGGATGCACGAGGAGAGCCTAGGTTTAGAAGGTCTTCAGGCCTGACCAAAGGAGGACAACAAGAGGGGGCGGACCTCACGGCAGACCGAAAGCAGTCAGGGCTCCATCAGGGACCCTCCCCTTCTGACCTTGGGAGGGAATGCCCCTGCAGACAGAATGCCCCAAAAAGACAACAACAGGTTTTACTTTTTCATTTTAATTAAAAAGTAATCATCTCATCTTATTAACAACACAGAATTCCAAAGAGGAAAAAAAACACTCTATAACACAAACAGGTCAGAACACAAAACGCTGCCACCTGGGGACCTTGAATTTTTGAAATCGCTTGCTCAGCCACTGGCAGGGACTCAGCTGATGTCCCCGCTCTCCCTCGTCCCCACCAGGGGCCCCTTGCGACTGTGCTCCACAGGGCTCTAATGAGCGCATCCCTGGGGAGAGGGCAGCTTCCCTGGACTCTATTTAGAGCGGCAGCCAGAAGTCCGCCCTCTCGTAATTTCACTCTGGCTCAAAAGTTATGAACAGCCACCGGTATCAAGGACATGTCCAGCTACCAGAAGTCTGACATCAAAATGGTCCCTACCTCCTGCTGCTCAGAAAACAGAACAAGAATCCAGATGAAAAATAAGAACCTGATTTCTGAGCCAAAAGCTCAAAACAATCACTGAAAAAAAACGGGTGTTCCCTGCCGGAGTCTAGAGCTGCCTTCTCAGAGCCTCCGTGAAACTAGCACTAGAGAGGGAGAGGCTGACAGAAATGTTAAGGGGGCAGTGGGGGAAGAGTGGTCAGGGTCCGATTTCACAGTTCTTGTTGAACTGCTGGTGACTGGAGCTGTTCAGCCCACTGGAGATCCTCCAATGAAATGAAGAAAAAAAAAAGGAAAAAAGAAAACCCTGGATGATGCAGAAGAGTGCCTGCTTCTGTGGCTGCCATGGCCACTTCCCAACTCCAGAGCAGCTGATCTATGAATCCTTAAGCAGACCCCGTACACGTGCGAGGGGGCACGACGACGGCACTGTGCTGGCCAAGCCCAGACTGGTCCTCTGCAACCCTAGGCAGGAGCTGCAGACAGGAACTTGAGCTCTGGTCGGCCTGGGCGAAGCTGGGAAACCTTGGTAGATTCAAAATGAACAAAGGCGGTGGCGGTTGACATGAAAATGAAAGTGCTGTTCCAAACTCAGCCAATCGGGCTTGGCTTCCTCCTGCCCACCCCCCACCCCAAATCCAGCGGACAGAGACCAGAGAAACCCATGACATATAAACTGAGCCCAGACACCTATACTGCCCAGGTGACCCCAGATGTATTTATTTTCTACAAAACAAAAAACAAAAACAAAAAAAGATACACCCCCAAATGCAGTATAAACTGACTCTGGAAGGAGTAAGCAACACAGCCTCGGGCAGGAGAGAGAGCAGGTGGTAGAAACATTCGATGTAGAGCTGGAGAGGCGCAGAGAACATCCTCCAAATAACTCTATTTGAACGCAGTTGGTGGGAGGCCAGGGGATGAGGGGACGGGGGGGAGGGGTAGTTGAGAGACTGAGCCTCAGTAATGCCTCTGGTAAGATCCCATCGGGGCCTGGGGCCGCCCCACCTGTGCTGCGGTTTGGCTAACCAGGTGGGAGAGAGCAGGGCCACTCTGGATCAGGGTGTCCAGAGCCTTCTGTACACTTGGATTGTCAAAGTTGATACCCGTGGAAGACACGGGCCTCTGGCTAGCCATGTTGCTGGCAGGTGCTAGGCGACTGGAAGGTTGGCCAAAGAGCCCTTGGGAAGGAGCCCCAGGCCTGGGGCCCATGTTCCGAGCAGATCCCGCCTGTCCCAAAATGTTTGGAGGCTGATTGCCAGAGGCCTGTGATCTTTGCTGAGGCTGGCTGTTCGCTGCTGTGGAAAAATTCTGGTTCTGGGTGTTTCCGGCAACGACGGAGGGGGATGCAGAGCTGCTATTGGCCACAACCGTGCCACTATTGAAGAGGCTGAGGATTTTGGCCTGAAGCTCTTGCTGGGAGGTGGGGGGTGCAGCTGGACTGGGTGTAGCAGAGGGGAGCACTTGGCCGCTCTGGAGCGGTTGGGAGCTTGGCTGTGTCTTCAGCGAGGCACCCGAGGTCGCCCCGAGTGGTTGGCGGGAAATCGGGCCTAAAAGACAGAAGGAGGAGGTATCCAGTTGAAAGTACCCTCCGTGGGCAGGCGGCTTAGCAGCCAGGGAAGAACAACAATCACTGATCACATCAATCACATAATACACAGACTATAACATCAATTTCCCCAAGGGGCTACTTCATGGTATGTGCTGTCTCCAGGAAACAGCTTAGGTGTCCCAGTGGACTTAAGGACAAAAGGGCATCCATCTTGGTTAGCAGGTGGCCAGCAATCCTAGTCCACCCATCGCCACGTTCACTACAGGGACTGGAATTCAGTACCCAAATCTTAAGTTATCATTATATCAGCAAGGACGGCCCGTGGGAGAACCCAGGGCATGGGCTCATTCCCCTTACCCACCCCAAAGAGCCTGGGCCTGCTACCCTCCCAACAGAGCCTGGGGGTTAGAGAAATGCAGAGTCAGAACTTCACCTCGGCCCTGCCACGTAGCTCACCAGGCAGAGAGTCGGTGCTGCTCCTCATAAGGCGCTCCTTCCGCTCTCGCAGGTAGTTGATAATCTTGTCAGTCTCCTCGGCAGTGAGGTACCTATTATCTGCCAGTAGGTTGAGGAGGCTTTGGATGGCCGGGGGGTGCCCCCCGCGCACTCCTTCCTCGGGGCCTCCACGCTCCCTTTCTTGCAAGATGGCTTCATCAGCCATCTTGGCTGCCTGTCTGGCAATCTCCTCACGTTCCTTCTCCCGACACTCATTCTTGTAGCGCTCATAATTTCTGGCCACCAGCACCATGGCGTCTGCCTGGGGCATGTTGCGATGCTCTGTAGGAGAGAATGATAGGAGTCATTTTCTCCCCTAACACACCTGAGTGCCCAACTGCTGGGCTCTACCAGCCCTTTCCTAACCTCAAACCAGCAAGAAAACCATTTTGGTGACAAAAAGCCTTGGGATGGGGAGCAGGGAGAAGGGAAATTAAAGCTGGGAAGATAAGTGAATAGGTTTCTTTGGTGGGAACACATACCTTTCACAGAGCTGGTTCTTTGGGGGAATTCCTAGATCACAGACTTGTAGCAAAAATCAAAGAAACACGACAGTCTCCCACAGATTCAAAAAGACCACATAGGGAATTACCATGGGAGGCTGGCCGCAGGGGGCCAAAAAAGGCCTTCTGTAAAGCCTGGCTCTCCACTGTGATGCTCAAGATAGAGCTGGCCTACTGTTTTTGAATTCATCAGTTCAAAGGTCACGGATAAAGATCAAATGTAACCATAACCTCCTCTCCTCACCCGCGGGCAACATGACTTATAGGGTGGTGAGAAGTCTTACAACTTTACATAAATGTCCTCACACATCTTGAGAACTATTCCTCAGAGAGACAAATGACCAAATGACTTAGTGGAAAGCCTTACGTATTTTATGGTTATGGGTATAACCTGTCAGGCAAAGAGATTCCGTGTGTGGTGGGAAAAGGGAAAAGTCCGCACCGGAGGAGCAATGACCAGGGCATCAGGGCATTCTGAGTGCGAAGTACTGAAAGCGACCTCAGGGAAGGGCTTCAAGGACTTCCAGGGCCTCCTCCCTGCTCTCCTGCCCCTTCTACTTCTCCAGCACACTCGCAGATAGTATCCCCATCGCCTGTTGTGTTCTCTGTCCCTTATTACGAAGTCTGGTGAAAGCAAGGATTCTACTGCACTCAGTGCAGCGTGCGCCAGAGATGCGCCAGCACCTGCTCTCACGGGCGAGCGCCGACGGTGCCCCTCTCTTCTGAAGTGACTTCATGTCGGTGGCTTGAAACGGGACACGGTGGGAGCATTTACACCATGGAGATCAGCAAATGCTGTAAACCACACCGCCTCCTGCCCCCTCCCCAGAACGAGTTGTTAAACATTTGCCAGCATCCCACTGTCTCTACCTACGGGCTAAATAAATATGTTTTCTAGACAGCAGGCCCAGAACTGTATCCACTGAAAGAGTATCAGAGGAGAATGTGACCGTGCAAGTCTCCTCCAGTGTGTTTATAAAAGGGCCCTGCCACATGTGAGCTGACCTACAAGTCATTTGCTCCAAACCTGCTTCTTCTGAGTAAGACACGAAAGAATTCATGGACTAGTGACTACCCCTGGAAATCTGACCCACTTGGGCCTCCTACCTTGTGGGGTTCCAAACATGATGTTGACTGTGCAGGAGCGGTGAATCTGGTGTTGCTGGGTGATGACGATAGCAAAAGGAGACCCACCCCTGCTAACATCCTCCAAGGCTTGTGACAGGGACACCTCTGTGTTGAGGAAGATCAAGTCCACTACCATGCCTAGGTCTCGTACCTTCCGCCCCACAGATTCAGCATAATCTCTGTAGAAACAAACAGGATCCAGGTGAGTACTCGCTGACCAACTCCCAGTCTGTACACAGCTGCACTTCAGCCAGCAGTGTGGGCTCCTAAGGGGAGTTCAAATCTTAGCGTACCCAGTGTCTCCCTAGTGCCCTCTTCAGGCTCCAAGAATCTAGACCAATTCCTTCTCTCATACTAATCTAGTTCCGAATGGTTATGACTAGCTCAGAATGGCCACATGCAAGTGGCCAACAGCGCAGTCCTTAGCACCCAGGTCCTCCTCTTGGTCCTGTAGTCCAGTGGTCCTTCCTGAAACACCATCCTGCTGCCTAAGACTTGTGGGATGTGTCTGTCTTTGGGGTGGCTGCCAATATAATGGAAAAAAACCATGGGCTTTAATGCTACAGAGGTAAGTTTGGATCCCAGCCTTATCATTTACTTACAAAGTTGTGAAGATTTAAGCAAATTCCTTAACCTCTTACAGACCTGTTTCTTTACCAATAAAACAGGAACAATATGGCTTGGTTCATGTCATTCCCTTGACCTTCTCTCCCATCTAAATTAAATCCTTGATGTATTTCTTCTCGGGGCTCATCACCAATACATCCATTTTTGTCATCTGCCTGACCGGGATGTGAGCTCCACAAGAGGAAGGGGCCCTGTGTGCGTGCTTATTTACCGTTATAGCTTCGCCATACATATAAGAGTTGAACTGAATGAATATCCATGTAACATGACGAGTGTGAAGATTAAAAATAATTTAAATAAAGCGCCTAGCAAGGGGTGGTAGAGTAGGTGTTCAGAAAATGACAGCTATTATTATGTGTCAAGAAAAAAAAAGCTATCTACAGTCAAAGCAGCATCTATCTCTAAACAAGGCAGCCCAGAGCCTGGGAACTCTGCCTGCTGCTTCGTGTTTCAACACCTATTTCCCTAGTCTCTGCCCTGAAATTAGTTCTTTAACCCCAAACTGCTGGAAAACACATGAAGTTATTTACTAACCACCTGGGGAAAGGGAACATAGCTAGTGCCAAACCCTGCAAGCTGCTATGCTCCCTTCCGCCTCCCCGCTCAGTCTCTTCAGGAAAGAATGTGAAAAAGAGGCGTGCGAAAAGGTACTGTGGGGGCGCCTGGGTGGCTCAGTCGTTAAGCGTCTGCCTTCGGCTCAGGTCATGATCCCAGGGTCCTGGGATCGAGCCCCACATCGGGCTCCTTGCTCAGCGGGGAGCCTGCTTCTCCCTCTCCCACTCCCTCTGCCTGTGTTCCTTCTCTCGCTGTGTCTCTGTCAAATAAATAAATAAAATCTTAAAAAAAAAAGGTACTGTGAACTTTGGATTGGCCAGAATGGTCTCTTAACAGTTCTGCAAGATCATGGACCTTCACAAAGGTCCTTCACAAAGAAGGCTTGGCTGACAAATGCAGAGACATGCACCTCTCAAAGCACTGGGGATTCAGAGTTTTTCCATGAAGGGAGCATCTACCGCTTTGCATGACCAACATATATTCCCTCTTCAATTTTCCTTTGAGAAAGCACCCTTCTACTCAGTCCACATGATTCCACAGGCCTAATTCCACCTTTAGCTCTAGGAATGGGTACATAACCTAGCCCTAATCCATCAAGGCATCCCAGCACTGCTGGTTCAAGGATGGGAAAGTGAGCTAGGTCAGTCCAGTGAGAAACAGTTCCAGGCCTTTAGGTAGAAGCACTGGGGAAGAAGTTTCTGCTAAGAAGATAAATGTCTAGGGGCGCTTGGGTGGCTCAGTAGTTAAGCACCTGCCTTTGGCTCAGGTCATGATCCCAGGGTCCTGGGATCAAGCCCCGCATCGGGCTCCCTGCTCGGCGGGTAGTCTGCTTCTCCCTCTCCCACTTCCCCTGCTTGTGTTCCCTCTCTCGCTGTGTCTCTCTGTGTCAAATAAATTAAAAAAAAAAAAGAAGAAGATAAATGTCTAGGGTGAGTGCCCTTCTGCCTTTTCAAGCATGTCTGAGCATGTCTGAGCATGAAGGTGACACAGAGACCAAGTCTTGATGACATGGTTTGACCAGATGTGGCCATACCCAAAGTTCCAAGCCAAGCAAACTAAAAATTTCCCTTTGGGGCCTAAGCCAATTTGCAATGGCTTTTCTGTAAGCTACAACTGACAGAACTCTAGCTAAACACAGGAGAGCAATGCTACAGTACACAGCCCAAATTCAGTGGGTACAGCTGCCAAAGGAAGTCTTAATTTCTCTTCTGACCTTTCTCCTTACTCAGGAGAAATAGCCCAAAGGATTCTTACTTAGTCTGCTTGTTGACCACAATCACAGAACAATCAACAGGCCTCTCGGCATCAAAACGTCTCTGGATTTCCTCAAAATATTGACGATAAAGTTCTTCTCTACGCCGTTCCTCACGTTTCAAACGCTCTGTAAGACACCAGTAAGGAAAACTGAAATATGGACTGTGACTTTCTATAAAAATAAGTCAGAGGCCTTATTGTGAATCCCAAACTACTTGTAGGCCAAGGTGATAACATACACATACTCTCTCTCTGAATTACTCTTCTGGACTACCTCCTAAAAATAGCCAGTACAATTGTTTCTTACTATTATACATTCACTGAAATGGAATAGTTGGATTAGAGGGCGTGGTCACTTTAATGTGTCATCTGATACATACTACACCAAGGCTGCTACTCTAAAGAGGCTGTTACTAACTTATCCCTTCACAGGGGTGGATCACCGAGTGCTATTTCTCCACAGCTTAGTCAACATTGGGTATTGTCATTTTTGAAAATTCCTGCCAACATGGTAAAAGACGGTATTCTGGGGCACCTGGGTGGCTCAGGGGGTTGGGAGACTGCCTTTGGCTCAGGTCATGATCCCAGGGTCCCGGGATTGAGCCCCGCATTGTGCTCCCTGCTCCTCAGGGAGCCTGCTTCTCCCTCTCCCTCTGCCTGCTTGTGCTCTCTCCCTCTCTCTCTGTCAAATAAATAAATAAAAATCTTAAAAAAAAAAAAGATGGTATTCTGTTGTTATTCTTATTTGCATTTTGGCAACCACTATTTAAGACCCTTATTGACAGGTATTTGTAATTTGTTCTGGAAAAAAAAATCATGCAGTGAAGTTTTATTACAGATTAAAAATAAGGTTAATTCAACTATGAAATAATTCAAAAATCTTTAAAGATGTATTGAGAAAAATGAGGCTTTGAAAAAACATATTTGTCTTTACCTAAATAAGAGACGCTGTTAGGTAAGAATTACATATAAAACAAAAAAACCCACATGATGCACATACAGTGCAAACAGTTGTAGTTATTTTGTTAATTGGCAAAAAGCAAGCACTTAACCCTCTTTAGCTCCAACTTTTTGTTCATTTCTTACTGCTGGAATCTCATATTCACTTCTTCTTGTTACATGACTAAACCGGATGATGGTACTAATTTGCATTTTATAAATTATTTTGAAGCTGAATGTTCCCTACATATTAGCAGGATATTTGTATTTCTTCTTTTTGTGGATTACTTCACCAAGACATTAGTCCCCTTCTAGTTGGTTATTCGTTTCCTCTTTCATTTGTCGAGTGCTTCACTAGTAACAGTAATAAACTGCTGCTTTACCTTTTGCACGAGACTGACTTTCTGGGCCTGGAGGGCCTCGTCCATCAAAGCTATCTCTATAGCGGTCAAAATAAGCATCGTCCTTCCTCCTGCAATAGTCATCCATTCGCAGGTATCGGTCATAAGAGCTTTCTCTCCTGAAAAGTGGAAGAAATTTGCACAAAGTTAAAAGTCACCTCTGCTGCAAAACTCAGATATAGAGCATTTTCAACACCCACTCCTGTGAGGAAGCAGCACAGTAAGGCAGGACTTTGGGATTAGACAAACGAGGTGTGTGTCTGAGATTCACCGCTTATTGCTCTGTGGCCAAGACTATGTTAACCTACTTTGCAAAATGACTGGGAGGATGTACAGAAAGCTCTCAGAATAGTCCCTGGCTTAAAGTAAATGCAAAATAATTGATAGTAACTACTGATATTAATTTTGATGCTTCCCCATCCCCCTTGCCTGTAAAGTTTTTTAAAAACTATGGTTTAAAATACATATACACATCCATATATATATTTCATATAAATACACAGATACATTTCTCATCACCTTGAGAACACCCAGAACAGAAACTCTGTATCCATTAAGCAGGAACTCTTCACTTCCCATCCCTGTAACCGCTAATCTATTTTCTGTCTCATAAGAATTTGCCTTCTCTATTCTTGTCAGTGGAATCATACAGTATTTGTTCTTTTGTATCATCTGGATTATTTCATTTAGCATTATGTTTTCAAAGTCCATCCTTGTTGTAGCAGGTGTATTACTTTCCATTTTATGGCTGAATAATAGGTTCACTGTATGGATATATCACTTTTTTTATTCATTCATCTTTTGATGGACATTTGGGTTTTGTCCACCTTTCAGCTACTGCGGAGAGTGCTGCTATGCTACATACAAGTTTCTGAGTCCTTCTTTTCAGTTCTCTTGGGTATGTACCCAGGAGTGGAATTGATGGGTCCGAGTAATTCTGCTGTATTTAATGTTTTGAGGAACCTCCTTCCAACCATTCTCCACAGCAGCCACACTATTTTATATGCCCGCCAACAATGCATGAGGGTTCTATCTCTCCACACCTTGCCAATATTACTTTCTTTTGTTGTTTTCCTTAATAAATGATATAGCCAACCTAGTAGGTATGAAGGGGTAGCCTGTTGTGGCTTTGATTTGCATTTCCCTTTTGACTAATGATGCCGAGTGTTTTTTCCCCAGACCTACTAGCCACGTGTACATTTTCCCTGTGTTTCTGCACTGCCAAAACAATTTGAGCTCCATCTTTTTTTTTTTCCATTTGCACAATGCTGCCTTTCACAGGTCACATGGAAAGATCCAGATTCATTCGCTAAGCATAATTCATCAAACATTCACACATTCAGCAAATATTTATTGAGTAGCACATCTGCCACTTGCTAGACATTGGAAATATAAGGCTGATAAAGTCACTGCCCTTACAGAGCTTTCAATTAGTTCAGCAGAATACCCATAAAAGACTGTTATTAAAAACAACAACAACAAAATCCAAGCAAATGGCTGTATATGTACCTGTACATGGGCTCTCGGGAGTCTCTCATATCTCTGTATCTGTCGTACATGGGGTCCCGGTGATCTCGAAAATCCCTAGAGTCTCTTAGATCACGAAAGTCTCTAAGGTCTCTCATGTCCCGAGCATCACGCATACTTCTGCTGTCTCTGTGATCCCGAATGTCTCTGCTATCTCTGTGGTCCCGCAAGTCTCGGGGGTCTCGCATGGCTCTGCTATCACGGGCATCACGGCCATTTCTGCCATCCCTGGGCTCTCTCCTTGGACTTCCTCGGATTGGGGATCTATCACGTCTTGTATCTCGACCGTCTCCAAAGCCATATGGATCTCTGTGGGAGGTAGCAAGGAGGAGCTAAGACAAAGAAATTGAAGGTAGCCAACCCTTCAGCTCTTTATTGGAGGAAGTCCCCACCCTCTCCAAGCATTTTTCTCTAAAACACGGCAGCCAAACAGTGAGAACATGACTAAAATTTTAAAGAGAGTCACCCATCTGGTCAGCAAATAAAGACTAGTAGGCTTCAGGATCCCAAAAGATTAGGACATCAAAAGAAGAATGTATGACCCAAAGCCAAAGATTTTGACTGGGGTCACAGTATTTGTCAGGGAGTAATTCGGTATTCTTTACACATGCCACGCTATCATCTTAATCTCCACAGGTTTTCAAAGTGGAAGCATCTTTCCCCTAGAACCTGTTTTTTTCCCACCAGACATGTTTGAAAGAGATTTTAAAAGGGGGGAAAGTTGGAGGGACATAGTAAGGGGCAAGACTCATGAAATAAAAAAGGAGCAAATGCACAATCTCATACAAAGTAACAATGGTCCAAGTAGTTGTTCCTGAAGTACAGAAAACCTCACTTAAAATACTGAGCAGGATAATCAAATTAAGGGAAAAAAAGAAAAAGTACAATATGACACACACAGTAAAGTATAAGAACACTCAGCTTCTCTGTCTTCTCAACATAGTTATTGAGTAGTGGTCTCTCTCAATCTGAGTTCAAGGCAGAACCAGGTTCCTTTTTTTTTTGAACAGTGTTTGAAGTCACAGATAAGTTTGGGCTGCTCTCATACAATATTTTTCATGAGACATTCCACCCCACTCTTTAAACTTGTTATTCAACCCACTTCTTTATCCCATTCCCGACTTTTTCACTTCTGCCAAAAATCATCTTCCTAGCTACCAAGGTTTAAGTTCTTGAAAGTTAACAATTCTTCCTTTCCTTTCCCCATTAAGTCACTTGAATCCTGTTCACTTTTCTTTTTCATTCCTACTGGATTCAAAGTTTAATCCAAACCCTTTTGCTTGGTATCAACAAGTTTCCAAACCAAAACAAAAAAAAACAAACCAAACCAAACCAAAAACCAATCTTCCAGATTTCAATTCATTCAACACATAAACATCAGATTAACCATTCAAATTTCCACCTGTTACCAACCGCAGCTTGACAATCACACTTCTAGGTACCCCTCCCTAACAAATCTGGACCCTTCCCAACTGTTACTGCTCCCCCATTTCCTGATTCCACCTAGTCCGTTCTGTTCTTATGACTTAACTCACACAATGCTATCTGCTTCAGGATTTCTGTTCACATGGTTTTTCAACCTGGAATGTTTTTCCTGCACTAACAAGTATCACCCAATCCTCACAGGAAAGTTCATGTCCCAAATCTTCCAAGATTAGAGAAGTCTAATCTCCCTAGTAACTGTTGATCTTTCCTGCTGCTCAACTCTTAGAACACTTACTATTTCTATTACTCTTCTCTATCTGATATTTACCTTTTCACAACAGTTTCTTGTTTGACCTACTTTAATAAAATCTGCCCTGAACTCTTGAACTTCCCCAACAAATATGCTCCTCCTCCAGTCCTTTCCATCTCAATAAATGGCACACCTACCTACTCAGTTACTCAAGCCAGGAAACTGAATGTCATCTTTTCCAAAGCCCCATCCGCTCTTCCAATCACATTTCCAAATTCTATTCTTTCTCTGAAACTAGTATCAATTCTGTCCATGTTTATTTCCGTTAGTACTGCGGAAGGCCAACCCACAATGACCTTTCCCTAAAACCTGAGCAAGAGACTTCTACCGTGGGGAAAGACTTCCCCATTTCTGCTCTTGCCTCTTTTCTAATCTTTCTCCATATTATTCTAGAGTGATTTTTCAAATATGTAAAAACCTTTCACTGGTTTCCCACAGTATTCGGAATTCAATCCAAAATCTCCAGTAAGGTTAGTCAGGTGCTGCGTGGTCTTGGCTATCTTCTCCAACCTTACCCACTCCCCTCCGGAGTTCACCACTATCTTGCCACACTGGCCTTTCAGCTGTAACTAGCCAAGGTTTTTCCTGATGCCTCTACTTGAGCAGCAAGAACAGATCCATACTCATTCTCTATGTCTCAGCATAATATGTGTCTCTTACCCCTGATTCTCATAGTCTGAAAGTTTATTTTCTGCCCTTAAATCCTGGCCACATTTTCTCATAGCACTGTTTTTGTCATTTATCACAATGTGACATATCTATTTACTTGTGTAACATCTGTCTGCTCTACTAAACTGTGAATCCATGAGGACAAGGATTGTCAGTTTGACTCTCCACCATAAACCCACTATGTAGGTTTATAATGTCTGGCATGCAGCAGATGCTCCACGACTTATGTTGTATGTATTTCTATCACTGCACTTATCACACGGTTCTGTAATTTTATCTGTTTACATCGCTTCTCTACTGAAGAGTAAGCTCTCCTGAAATCTCTGGATCCCTAGGACAACAGCATGGAGTTCAGTAAATGTTTAATGAATCTAATTATTCAACTCAACTGTAAGCCTCTTATGAGCAGGCGTCATGTTTTGTTTAAACTTTTGTCATCTACCGTGATTAAACATATTAGGCAGCCATCACGATGCCATCAAGCCTGGTAACAAGCCTCAATTTTACTTCATTCACATGAGCACAGCAAAAATAACTTAAACGTCAATTCTGCATCTATGAAAAGTCCTTGTCATACATTTTAAGGCTCACAAGTACTCTTGATTTGTGGGAGCAAACATGGGAGACCAGGGAGTTTAAATGAGGAGGCGCTAAACATTTTTCCTATTAAAGTGCAGACTAACCAAGATTCTTACTTTGTTTCTTATTATGTCATATAATCTTCCTCACATGTGTAACATCTGATAGAGTATATAATGTGGGAAAACACTCAGGATCCTTTGGGAAGAGACAACTGTTAAGTATTTTTGGATTAATGATTAGCAGATAATCCTGCCTTGGGGGGCAGTTAGAAGTAGTCATTAGAGGTAGAATCAGATTTCAAGTGTTCTTGGCAATCAGGGATAAGAGATACCATGAGCCTGATAAACCACAGACCACACACAAAGCCTTTGGGTTGTGGAAATGAGGGGCAGGGATACGGCTAAGAACACCGAGTCACAGCACATTATTCACAGCCTTAGGATAATTAAAAATGCCATATTGTTCTCATTCTTTTGAATCCACTGAAATACCTTACTTACCTGTCAGAGTCCATCCCTGGAGGCTGACCATAACCCCAGAATCCCAAAGTCTAGGTTCATGCTTCCAGTGTGAGAAGGCAAGCACTCCCTTTCCCTCAATAAATCTAAAGTCCTTATGCAACAAAACTACTAATTCCCTCAATTGCCTTCTGGGTAAAATGTAGAAAAGATGATATTCACAAGGTGGAAAGAACCAAACAAATAGTGGAAGTAGGAACAGAGAAGATAATAATATGAAAGGGCAAAGCTTTTCTCCTTTCTCCAAAAGATGAGCAGTATGGCAGAAGCTGTTCTTCTAGAGACAAAAACAAAAAACCTTTTAGGGTAAATTTAGGACCCTAACAAAGATCTCCCCAGAACAAAAGGGCTCCTGCTGATGGCCCCAACACCTTTCTCAAAACAAGAACCAGCTAACAAAAGGGAGGTACAGGGTACAGGAAGTCAGAGTGCGCAAGGAGGAAGCCTCTGAATGAGATGCTTGACCTTAGGTAACAAGTGGGTTAAAACCAAGTTTCTGGAGCATAACAGGGTTCACAATCTCATCCCATGGCACCAGAGGTGTTTTACTGGGGACCAAATGCAGTGTACCCTCAGGTACCACGTCACCAGAGGCTAAAAAGAAACTGAACCTTTTAAACTGAACCAGTTAAATAAATTTCAGCACTGGAGTCCACAAACTGAAGGCAGATGACAAACACTACTAAAATTGTTAATAAATTTCTCATCTATTCAACTGGGGAAAAAAGCCAAATGTTTTTTGCCTTGAGAGAAATATAGTCATATCATTAGAAACATTTGAGAGGTAAGAGAAGGGTGGGTGAAGGGAAAAGCCATAGCTCAGATGGTAAGTGATGTGCTTCTGGTAGAACAGCTTCTCTTCCGGGGACTAAAGAGGTGTGCAGAGCACTAGGCATTTGAGAGCCTACAGAGTAAGAACTGACAGATGATCATCTTGGAAGTCTGTGATGGACTTCGAGCTTCTCTTCCTCCAGAGAATGAAACCTCAAGCCCAGGATGGTGTTCTTTGGCCTTGGCTTTACAGAATGTCAGGGAGGAAGGCCTCTGTCCTTTTTTGTCAGCATCTCCTTTCTGTTCATTGGAATATTTTCCTTGGGAGGGCCAGCTTTTCTTTTTTTCCCCTGCTCCTGAAAAAAAAATCTTTAGTAGTTGTTGGTACTTCTGTTCTGTCACAGATACTGTCCACAAATATTATCTAAAATGGCTGGCTGCTGTGTGATGTTGATTCCCCACCACGATGGCTCCATGTTACGTGAGAAAGAGAGACAACAGACTTGTGCAGAATTTTGCCATTAGGTGCTGGTAGGATATGGAGTGCAATGAGGTATCACACCTCACAGATCCATGTCCATGCTTCTCCCTAGGAAGCACGATGATGATTTTCTCAAGCACAGATATGACTTTTCTGTTGGTAGAGGTGGCACTTCCTGAGAACCGATGGCTGTTCTTCAAGTGTTAGTGCAGAGGTAATCACAGCCTGGAATCTTAACTTGCGAGGCCCACCTAGAGCTAGCGCTGTCTCATACCCAAGGAGCAAGTGGTTATCAAAGGAATTAGCACCGTAGATAGAAGTCATCTTGAGCCACATAAGAAACTTGGCTACAGCTAGGATATTTCTGATGAGCCGATCCCCGATGACTTTCACCGAAGAGGCACCAAGCCCAACATCCTTAACAAATACACAGGAAAAATTCTCTGCAGAACTTTTGATGTAGACAAATTAGTTCTATTTGCTCTTTTTAATGTCAGACAGGAACGTTTAGAAAATACAGAGTCTCACTTGGAGGCCACATCCGTGTAGGGGTATGCTCCAAGACCTGGATTGCCAGGGTGTTGAGCCGAAGATAGAAACTGAGAACATCTGAGGTACAACCAGAATCACGGTCTCTGAAGAAGGTAAGGGCCAGTGCCTAGCACCAATGCTAGACAACTTACATGGTAACTAAGCAATGTAGTCAAGAGTCCAATGAAGTGGTCCAAGGGTTAAATGATGAGAACTCAGGCCGAAATTTGATCCAGAGCAGGGATCCCTGATGCAGAGTTCTGTGCTTGGCTGGACCAATATTGTCAGAATTACACGCTGACAGCTGGAGTCATTAGGGAGGCACATTACTGAACAGAGAGCAATGCCAGCAGAACTGTGGCTTACAGAGACATTTGAAGAGGTGATAATCCTGTGAAAACTCCCAAAGGTACTTAGGTGTTTTGACACTCAAGGTTAACGTCCAGCAAAACAAGGTGTTACAAAGGTCTTGCCAGCATGCTTAGAAACAATTTTATTAAAAGGAGCAGCACTGAAGACATAAAAGTACCACTTAAGGGAAATATCTGCCACAAATACACTTTTTCTCCCCTGTGAACAATGCATATCCTATGGCTGGGGACACATAACTTATTAGGGTTGCCAAATGAAGGCAGTTTGGCAGTTGTCAACAGACTGGTATATCTGGAATTACTTCAAGGCTCTGACTGGATGTACCCAAAGAGTGATATCCAGTGCTCACCCTTAGAGAAATGATTAGCCTCTTCCAGGCTAACTAGTCATCCATCTTGCCTACTTATTCCATTTTATTTCTGCCCTATTGGTATACCATAAGAGACAATACATGATCAGTGTGATGATCAAAATGTTAGTGTTCTGTTTTGAATACAATATTCAAATTTGCCCGGCGTTAAAGAGTTTTTAAATTTTTATTTATTTATTTATTTATTTATTTTTAAAGATTTTATTTATTTGTCAGAGCGAGAGAGAGAAAGCACACAAGCAGGGTGAGGGGCAGACAGAGGGTGAAGCAGGCTCCCTGCTGATCAGGGAGCCCGATGCAGGACTCGATCCCAGGACCCTGAGATCATGACCTGAGCCAAAGGCAGACGCTTAACCGACTGAGCCACCCAGGCATCCCTTAAATTTTTATTCTTAAAGGTAAAAAAACTGGGACTCTCTGCTCAGGTTTTAGACAGGGCTCAGAACACATTCTACTCAATGTGAATATCCTTCTTCCCTGAACCTTATTAAGCATAACTGTATGACACTTCATCATGTTAAATAACATGCTGAGGAACCCAGTTAGGGACATAGCACCAAGGGGGAAGACTGATTCTGGATGGAAATTAAATTAGCCCAACTGTGCCTCCTATTGATTGTAAAAAAAATAGGAAGCTACTGCCCTATCCACATCTCAAACAACCTCATTTTAGAAATTGTTTCTGAGGAAGGTGATATTTTATTTTTTTAAAAAAGATTTTATTTATTTGAGATAGAGCAAGCACCAGTGGGGTGGAGGGGCAGAGGGAGAGGGAACAGCGAACTCCCTGCTGAGCAGGGTGCCTGGCGCAGGGATCGATCCCAGGACCCTGGGATGATGACCTGAGCCAAAGGCAAGTGCTTAGCTGACTGAGTCACCCAGGTGCCCTGAGGAAGGTGGTATTTTAAAAGGTATATAAAAGTGACATATTTGTATTTATGTCTCTGGCAGGGAGGACATTTTAAAAGCCCCCTCCAATGTTGTTTGTATGCTTTGTTTTTAGGGGGATCTACTATTAGAAAAAAGAAGAAAAGCATACAACTATTTCTTCCATTACAGATGAAATTATAGAGTTATTTTAAGTTGGGATGAAATTAATCTTTTTTTTTTTTTAAAGATTTTATTTATTTATTTGACAGAGAGAGAGATAGCGAGAGCAGGAACACAAGCAGGGGGAGTGGGAGAGGGAGAAGCAGGCTTCCTGCGGAGTAGGGAGCCCGATGTGGGGCTCGATCCCAGGACCCTGGGATCATGACCTGAGCCGAAGGCAGATGCTTAACGACTGAGCCACCCAGGTGCCCCGAAATTAATCTTTTTAATTTAATGTCCTGGCAATAGCTACATGGATTCCAAGCAGGGGAGATGGTTATTTCCTCAACATTGCCAATGTCTGCTGAATACCTATAATCAGTTGGAAATGTTAAAAGCATTTAGCTAAGTATCATTAATAAGATGACATAAATCAAGAGCACAAACAGGAACTACTCTGTATTCTTCAATGTGCCTTGTTTTTTGTTTTTTGGGGCGGGAGTTGCCTGCAAAAACACACAGACATTATCCAGAGATTATAAGCATCATGGGGACAAGAGAGGGGAGAGGATTTTACTAGCGGAGCCAGTGTCTTTACAGTTACCCATTCCATACTCCTTCTGGTAAGCTACCTAGTTCAGAAACACATGCATTATTGCTCCTCGGAAACTGGATACACACTGTATCTATCTCTTTTCAAGCCCCTTGGCAACCACAGCTTCTAATGGACGCCCCCTATTTCTGACCATTAGATGTAAACTCTTAGCCCTCTGTATTCCAGGTTTATTGGGGCAATGAGAAGCAACACAGATGGGACTTCCCAACACCTACAGGATGGTTTGATGCAGCATAATGGAAGCAGACATTATATGGAACTGCTAAAGTTCTGCAGGATTCATTTAAGTTCTTTAGGATACTCACACATACCCACAAAATCAATCAACACAGTATTTACCTGTAAGCTACAGGCATTCCTTACAGTGTTAGAGAGGACAGACAGAATAGCAATGTATATGCTCACTTCCGCAGTGAGACCAACGGACAGCCAGGGCATCCACCTGGCAGCTGTAGCGTAGCTGTAGTTGTGGTGTCAGATTCAACTCCTTTGCACCGGCAGAGTGCTCAAAGCCGCCAAATTAAACCACCACCTTGCTGCTACAGTCTGCTTGAACTCTGCAGAGCAGTCATGTATAATCTATTCCTGGTAGCTTAGAAAATACCCACCCTTCACATCCAAGTGGGGGCAACATACACCAAACATACAGCAGCCATTCTTTCCTGTAAGTGGGGAACAAAATATAGGTGTTTTTGTCTCAAAGGACAGCTGTATGTTATGTGTAAGTTAGCTGGGTATATCCCAGGTGACCTGCGGAGCTACCAGTACAGACCAGGATTCATCGTACTCAGCAGTGTTCAGTTCACTGTAGGAAATGTAGTCTACCACGGTATGTAGTTTATTGTGGAAAACTGGTATTTTTACTTAGACGTAAAAGCCAAATCCATACTGAGTATCCATTTGGGCCATGAAGAGACACAAGATATGGAACAGATCATATCTGTCTGCATTCCACACAAAAGTGCACACACTGCATCCACTTGTGTACTGTCAGGGGGCTAGTTTGGATACTGCACCTTTGGTGTAAATGGTAACATTAATAAGGCTCTTCTTTGAGAGAAGGGGCCAATTTAATGCATATCTCATGGGTATACATCAGGACTATCTCTTTTGTAGACACTGGAAGAAAGAATATATTAGGGAAATGCTTTTTATTTCTAGAAAAGCTAGGAAAAAGGGAGACTTTTGAGAGCTGGAGTGTTTTCGCCCTTTTTATTCCCCTCAAATGGTAACCCCAGCATGCGAGCCAACAGGGGATCTCCAGCACAGGCACGGCAGCAATCTCTCAAGCAGCACTTTCCATAAACCTGGTTAACATCTGGACCGGCAGCCATTTGGAATGAAGAGTCGAATCTCTGCTGCCCACTGCAGTGCAGCATGGCACACACCAACGACCCTGGGGCACTCCTCCTGCTGTGGAGGCTCCCAGTGACACGTGAGCTGGGGACAGACAGAGGTTTATCCTCTTCCAATCGCCTGCAACTCATGTTGCAAGCTGAACTTGCTGGGTTTGTCACCAAAAACGCAAAGCTTCTCTGCATCTCCTGATGTATGTTTAAAAAAAGCAGCAAGGCCCTTCACACAAGGTTCATGTTCTTATTGTTTGCTTGAGCGTTTCTGATTTGTTGGGGGGAAGAAAAGACCCTTGATGTACGAAGTTGGGCTTAACTCCCCAGAGCCCAACTCTCCCAAGGTAACTCACTGCTTCAGGGTACTTTACCTTCGTGTGGGGCTGGGTCTTGATGGAGCCGTATTCATATTTCTTCTTTCCGCTGCCTTATTAATATCTGAAAAGAATAATCAACCCATCTGTTCAATGCTACGGAATAAAAACAAAATCATCAGCACATTTCAAATGAAAGCAACAACAAAAAACTACAATGACAACCAGATGGTGTAAGAAAATCCATTCAGCAGACACACTGTCACTTGGGCAATTTTTATTAAGTTACGGCAGTACATTGTCATGGTTTGATAAGGAATGTCCCTCAGTTTTCTAGCTAACACAATGCTTTAATGCTCTGCCAAGTCCCAAACCTAACAACTGCCCCCTCCAAAAGTAGAAAAGGTTGCCTGCTAAACTCTTGGAGTGCCAGCTGTAAGATTCTGTTTTGAGGGCAGGATAGTGGGAGTAAAGACAGGAGACAGAGTTTAAAAAAAAAAGAAAGAGCAAGGGCAAATAATTCCATTTTATGTTACAAAGAAGAAACAGCTGGACTCTGTTGTCTTAAAACTTCCAATATGCCATGAAGCAGGGCCTACTTCTAATGTGCCTTGTGTTGCATTCCACTGGACAGAATGTTCCAGAATGAGATGTAGGGAAGAAATTTTTTTTCCTAAACGAAGTACATTACATGTTAGCAACTACGACCCTCACAGATAAGTACCTAAGAATAAGAATTGGCATTTGGTTAGGTAGTAAAACACTCCACACATGAGTTTTCATTAGAGAAGCATGGCATTTACAACTGGGTAAGGGAGAACAGTGGAATCATACAAACTTACAGAAAAGCCAACTTGTGCAGTTAAAGCCTGCTTGCTAAAAACAAATTTGCTTTGCAAAAATTGAAGTGAATAATAAAAACACCATGTATAAGAAAGAACTGATGAAATAGCTAAAGAAATGTACCAATCTATGTCCAAAGATAACACAGGACAATTTTTACATGACTTAAAGATTAATAAATGTATTAAAAATTTTTGGTTTTGGTTGAATGAAAAAATGAAACTGCGTCCTGCTGCAGTGTAGTTTCGTTTCCCATGTTCCATAGTAAGCAATTAGTAGTGTATCTAATGACATTAAATGGTATTAAGCACTCACATAATTAGAGTGCTTTAAAATAGTAATTATGTATTTAAAAAATTCCAACTGGAGTCCTATGGTGTGAGAGATCACAGTAATAACAAAAAACTTAAGAGGTCTGGCACAGACTTTACCCCGGTATGTTGTCAACTTTTGAGTTCTTATTCAAGTGAGAATGATCTTCAGTTCCATTTTAAGTCAGAGTTTCTACTGTATCTAGGAGAAGAATGACTTTTGATAAACTGAAGGTAACATAAATCTAAACAGTAAGAGAAGCGTATTTCACCCTAAGTTGCCTCTCACATTTTCAATTAAGTAGACACAATGCTATCATCCCTCTATTTAAAAAAAAAAAAATCAGAAAATAACGTCCATACAGGACTTGGCCAGTAATATCTGACCATGGCTTTGGTATAGCAAGTAGCACTTTCACTTACAACCCTAAAAGTTCAGCAACATCTGAACTGCACATTATATAATGATAAGCCTTATAGGGAATACCTAGTTCTTTTATATGTTATTGTGAAGAGTATCAGTTCAGGTTTAGAAGGACCTATTGCTCTCTAATACAGGGTGAATATGATTCAGAAAGAAATGTCATCTCTTTGATTGTTTAAGTAGTTTTCAAAGTATCTCTGGAATACACTGAGGGTGGTAGGGGTGTGAATATTTCTTTTAAATAAGCACCATATCTCCCAGCAGGATTCCATATATTATTGAATGGTCTTGTGAATAAAGAAAACTTCTCTAAACATTGACTTGACCTGAACATTTAGGTTAGAGTACAGAACATATGGTACCACTTTAGTTGGCAAGTTTCTATTAATGTTATATAATTTGCTCATATGATATGAAAAGGACTATTACACTATCTAATTATATCCATTTCTGTGAGCACTTACATATAGGCCCGGGGGCACCAAAGTAGTAATGTATTAAAACACTTTTGGGGCAAAGCTGGTTCCAGTTAGAATGAAGAAGGTAAATATTTTATTTGAAGTTAGTGAAATTTTTTTGCAATTATTTGAAAGATTATTTAAAATTCAAGATTATTTTATCTTTAAACCATTTTGATTATAATTTGCCTCCTAACATCTATTTTCATTAAATAGTCTAAAGCAATTATATTTGGATGGGGTGGCTTATGTTTCTTCTGTAAAAAAGAGAACTCTCAGACCATTTGAATTTTTTCCTTTTTTTCTTTTTTTTTTCCTTCAAGATTTTACTCATTTGTCAGAGAGAGACAGTGAAAGAGGGAACACAAGCAGGAGGAGCAGCAGAGGGAGAGGGAGAGGGAGAAGCAGGCTCCCTGCCGAGCAGGGAACCTGATGTGGGGCTCAATCCCAGGACTCCCAGGACGCCTTGGGATCATGACCCAAGCTGAAGGCAGATGCAAAACAACTGAGCCATCCAGGTGCCCCAGTAATTTTTTCCTTAAATGCCAAGTGTTTGTTTATTCACCTCTATTTAAGAGTTCCTTATGTCTCCACCTTGGGTGAGATATGGAGAAAATGAGACCTGGAAATTTTTGATAGTTTCATTGCCACCCAAGAGGGCTGCTCAGGTTGGAGGAAGGTTGGGGGGGGGGGCGGTTTCAGTGAGAGTTATGAAAACAAAACTGTCATCACCACCAATCCTGATACACAAAAAAATCCTAACATATGGTGACACAGAACTTTTGGAAAACCTAGGAGTTCAGAAATACAGGAAGAATAGAGAAGCTACCAAAAGTAAAATAACTTCAGGAAACTGATCACAAAGTATAATAAAGATCTAAAGAGTCAAGGGAAAAAAAACCCTTGCCCCATCCCAATTTTTTTTTTTTTTTTTTTGGTCACATAATTCAATAACCCATCAACTGGGAGGTTGGAGGTTCGTTTGAAAATGCAAATATTGGGACTGGTAAAGAGGGCTTTTGTATTAATCAGTTAACCAGATTTTTTCCTTCTTAAATCCTTACAGAGATACATAATCTATGCCAAGGAAATAGAAACAACGTTAACGTAAAGGAAAAGAAAAAACAGATGGAAAGACAACCTTTCTGGGCACCTTTCTGGACATCAGGTAGGGAACCGTAATTGGAGAGAATTTAATCAACAAGAGGACAGTGGCAATTTTGATGTTTCTTTCCCCTCCTGCTCTATCTCATCCTGGCCAAATGCCCTTAAGACTTGAAGTCAGGGGGCGCCTGGGTGGCTCAGTTGTTGCGCATCTGCCTTTGGCTCAGGTCATGATCCCAGGATCCTGGGATGGAGCCCCGCGTCGGGCTCTCTGCCCTGCTCCTGCTCCGTGGGAAGCCCGCTTCTCCCTCTCCCACGCCCCCTGCTTATGTTCCCTCTCTTGCTGTCTCTCTGTCAAATAAATAAATAAAAATCTTTAAAAAAAAAAAAAAAAGACTCAGTCTCTCAGTGTCTCTTTCACCTCAGCTTGGTTGGTACATCCATACTTTGTGAGCTATATTAGCAATGTGAATGCCATTCAAAATCACCATCACTGCAAGGTACCTTGGCCTGAATATCTTCTAAGTGGTCTTCTGAAAATAGTTAAAAGCACTTTTCAGGTAAGGAATTTTAGACAAGAAAAATAACACCAACTGAAGGGATCTACATAAGAGGAAAAAAAAAAAACCCCAGAAAATAATCTAGAAAACATGATGTCACACAGGAAGTGGCAGAACTGTTTTAAGCCGCAAAAGATTGGGGTAAAGAACTTTCAAAGAATGACACAATGCCTAATGTACATTTTCGACTAATATGCTAGACAGGGTTCACACAATGGTCTTTGTATATGCTATAAATAAAAATTCATGTTTCATTCATAGTACCAAGAACTGCTTTGCTCTATTTTTTAATTGTACCATCATAAAAACAACTCTTTTCACCTTAAAATCAATTATCACAAGCTATCACAATGGAAAACCATAAGGATATTCTAAACAAAGTGTAGCATGAATCACTGCACTTATTGACAGTACCACTGTTGGACTGTTGGCTGTTCAAAGAATGCAGAAGCCTATACAATTTCGATGTGATTATAAATGAAATAAAATTCTCCAAAGGCTTAGCTGAAAACCAACTAATAATCAGTAATTACTAAATTGAAAACATGTGATGATAAAGATAATGCCACTTGAAAAACCATACTGACAAGAAAGAGGTTATCACACATTAAACTCCCCAAATTGGGAGGGGAAAGGATTGGACTTCTCACTTAAATTAGATTTATGAAGATGACCTTGATGGTATACTGTAACATCAGGGATATGTAAGGAGTTATACTGTAATGAGTCAGGGATAAGAGAATGCTCTGCTTATGGTTTCTAAATCAATCCTTTAAGCTTACTTTAAAAACTATGCATTCCCTCATATTGGATTATCTCTTTCATTCTCTAATTAAAATAAGGATTATATCTTTAACTGTATCAGATTATTATTCCTAGGTACAGGAATGGGAGAAACAATGATAATTTTTATTTACAGAATGCTTACTCTGACCCAGGGCCTGTACTAAGAACATCATGTGCATTATCTCATTCAATCCTTTCTACAACTCTTGGAGTTAAATACTATTATGATCTCTATTTTGCGAATGAGGAAATTTGAGATTTAGAGAAATTAAATGACTTATCTTAGGTCACAATAGTCAGGAGGCAGACAGCTAGGATTCTAATCCAGATCTGACACCAAAATGCTTACCTATTATGCTATACTGCTCCAACAGGGAACGGAAAAACATGGTTTCCATTATGAACGCTTGCTAAGACTCCCTGATCAAAATGATAGAACCTGGGAAAGGCCCAGTCTTTGCCAGTCACACCAATGTTTAAGTGCCCCAGACACCCAGCAGAGCAGAGCCTATTCAATTGCCACTTCAATTTCTATCACCTCAAACTACATTTGACCCTTGAACAATGCAGGGGTTAGGAGTGCTGTCCCCACGCAGCCGAAAAACTTGACTACCTAAAAACTTAACAGCCTACTATGG